ATTTATGGCTCACACTGAGCTTGCAGGCGTCTATCTGATTCTCTCCATAGCCCAGTGAGTTGGGTACTAATTTCCCTCATTTATAGGGGAAGGGCAGGGAGGAGAAGGGAGGTAAGAGGATGGAAGGAGGGACTGCCCAGGGCCACAATGTTTAGACACAGAAGTCAGCTCCTGCAAGACTACTTTGACCCATGGGGTCGCTGGCTCACCTGCACCTTCTTCAGAGCCACCGTCTTCCTGTCCAGCAGGCAGGTGGCCTTGTACACCTCGCTGAACTGCCCTCGGCCAATCTTCTTCTCGATCTGGAAGTCTGCCAGCGAGCAGCGAAAAGACAGGGTGCTCGGGTGCCTCTGGAGGGGACAGACAGAGGGCATCAGTGTCCAGCCCGGCCGAGGTGGAGACTGCTGCCCTTTCCCAGCGCCCCTCTAAGATGAAGGAGGGACTCTGATGTCCAACCCCACTGTCAGAGCCTCAATGGCCCCCCCGCACTTTCCACACCTGCCCCATGTGATCCCGACAGTGACCCCACTCTGCAGATGAGAAACCGAGGCTGCTGGTTTCCTCCACAGCACATATCACCTCCCTTCATGATCTGATCACTGGCTTGTTTGCCGGGTCCCGTCTGCCTCTTACCTCCTCCCCAACCATGGACATCTCCAAAAGTGGGCTCCCATCTTAGTCCCCTGCATGTCCCCTGAGCTAAGGCTCTGCCCTGCTCAGAGCAAGTGCTGGGGCATGTTTGTTGAACGACACAATGGAATGTGTTCAGCACAGCCTGGTGCACAGTGGGACTTTGCGGCCCATCTACGGTCATTTCTATGAGTGCGGCTGAGATCACACACCCTCAAAAAAAGACACACACCCTCAACTTTCTCAGCACCTGGGGGACACACACATATTCATGAAAATGATGACATGCTACCATTTATTAGGACCTACTATGTGTCAGTTACTGTGCTGGCTGCTTAGGCAGATTTTATGACTTAAATGTTCTAACAGCCTTGTAAAGCAAGGCTTATTAGCCCCATTTTATAAATAAGAAAGCCAGTCAGTGGGGAGATGGGACTTGAACATCCTGACAATCTAGAGCCAGCTGTACTGCTGGGTGACATGGGGCAGGGTCTCTCTGCTCTCTGGGCCTCAATGTTCCTCCTGGGACTTGAAGTGTTTGAAGGATGCGATCTCCAAGGGTCTTTGTGCTGGTAACACTGGGCTGCTTCTGCCCAGGATGAGTGGCTGGAGTCCCCTGCACTCTCCACCCACCCTGGGGGGATGTGCCCCAGAGGCCAGGCTGCCCAGCTCCACAGCTTCCAGGAAGCTCCCAAAGGACATGGGTGACATCCCAGTCAGCATTGCTGACACTCCGCTGCACATCTGCATATGCGATGACCCAGATTTGCATTTCCTGTCACAACCCATTCGACCTAATTAGAGGAATGAGCTCCTGCGGTGGCGCAGGTTACTCAGGCAGCAGCACCGGGTGAGGGTTCCTCGCAGGGGTTGGGATGGGGTCTGTCGCCCGGGTGGCCTCTGCTCTGGTGGAGGCCACTGCGGGACACAGGGCTCCTGGGCGCTGCCTAAGCCAGCAGAGTCGATCCCGATTTAACTCGGGGGCTGTGAGTGGAAAGGGAAAAGGTGAACTGAATTCTTGCCCTGAAAGGCCAGGCCTCTCTCTGCTGCCACCTCCAGGGCCTCCCTGTCCTGGGTCAGCCCTGGGCAGGTGCCACTCTTGCCCTTGTAGCCGAATGAGGTTATCTATACCTTGGATGGGTAATACCAGCCTCAGAACTCCCTGAGGGTCTCAGGAGATGATGTTGGTGAAAGGGGTTCCAGGAGCTCTAAGCTGCTGGGCAAACGTGGGGCTAGCCCCAGACAACTCACACTGCAGTGGCTGACAGCAATAATCCCAATGGCCCTTCTGAAAACTGCTCCTCTAATGCTACAGTCCCGATAGGTCTAGGGCCCCGCGATGGCTCCTGGAGAAAACGAACACAACTCCTGGGGCCCAGGTTGGCAGAGAGGCTGAGACACTGACACTGGGGCCCAGAGTTGGATTCAAGTCCAAGTTCTGCCACTTCCTGGCTGTGAGCCTTGGGCAAGCCCTCTGGGCCTCAGTTTCCTTATCTGTAAAACTGAGATAATGACAGTACCCCCTTCAGAGGGTGGCCAGGGGGTTAAACAGGTTAACGAATGAAAGCACCCTGCACATAGGAAATGCTGTGTGTTGTTATGATTGGTATTGGCGTCTGAGATGTCTGCAGCAAGCGGAACCTACTTCCTAGGGGGCTGGGGATGAACTGAGGCGGCATGTGTACAGTGCCTGGCCCAGGTCGCCAGCGCAGGGCATTTCACTGTTGCTATCAATGATGCCACCATCTGCATCCCCACCGAGGGTCTGCACTGATGGCATGTACAGCTCTGGGCTCTGTAGCTGTGACAACTAAACTGAAGTTTACACCATAAGAATAAGATCAATGGCATAAATTTCCACGATGTGGGGTGCCATGCTGGATGTTTAGAGTTTTCCATCTCACGCAGTCTTCATGGCCCCATTCCACAGATGAGAAAACTGAGTCGCAGAGAGGTCATTGACCCAGTGTCACCAGGCTATAGGAAAGGAGTGAGGCTGGCCTGCCTCTGCAGCCTTCTGACTTCACTGTCCCCTGAGCGAGTCATCTGGGACTGTTTGCCAAGGGACTGTGCTCCCCTTGCCTCACTGTGCCGTGGGCACCGAGGCCATTTCTGAAGCCTCATTCCTCTTCCTCCGGGGGGAGCCCTTTAGTTCTCCCCCAAAGGTAGAGGAGATGGGGCGCAGGGCTGGGTAGGCAGCAGGGGTGCTGGCCCAGGCTCTGCTGCCAGCTGCAGGGGGCCCGAGGGAGGAGGCCTGTGATGCCCAGGAGGTTGTGCCATCTCATAGAGAAGAGGGGCCTCTGGAAATAACTCTAGAGGCCTGGCTAAGGAACCAAGAAGTGGCCTCTATCCCCAATCCCACTCTCCCATGAAATGCTGCCAGCCTTCTCAAGCGAAACCTGGACATACGGGGAGGGTGTATCTTGAACACCCCCACCCAGGAAGCTTGGACAAACCCAGCTTTCGTCTCCAAGTCAGATCAAATTAGGCCACAAATGCCCCCCACCCTGTGCTAATTTGAGTTTAAAATGTTTGAACCACAATAAGCCTCGACCATGGACAAATTCTTTAAAAAAAAACACACAAAAAAACCAGGAGCATAAAATTACATGTTAAAAGAATAAAAATGCATTCGCCCAATTAATTTTCTGAAATCTCATTAAAAAATTTAGCCTGACTAAGTCAGACTTCTGACCTGAATTTTAATCATCTTTACACTGGATGGGTCCTTTTCCCCCTGATATATGCAATGCATCATTAATTTTAAGGCAACCGTTTCTATGATTTTGAAACGCACACTTCATCAGAATGACATTTCCTATAAACAAAGTTCACCTTTAAAGACATCTGACACTGTGTGTAAGGACTTCTAATGGATCCGGGATATGTGTATTTGGAGACGTGTTTTAAATCCGCGCTGCACAAAGGGGCATGATTTACAAAGAGTCCATATTGTCGGGCTCTTCACCAGGCCAACCCCACTCGGCTCCTCACCATCTGGCTAATTGCAAACTCGAGACGGCGGCTATGGGGCCACATGACTGCAGTGACTCCGGCTCTGCTCCTTCACAGCCAACGGGCAAGCTATTTATCTCAGTGTCCCCCTCTGCACAATGAAGTTTGGGATAAGCCCTGCTTCTTCTATGAGTTGGTAAAAGGACGGAACAAGGTAAGTGCCAGGCGTCACACTGTTGGCGCAACCACCACCACGACTGTCTCAACCTGGACACCTACACGCAGTCAGTTCCACGGGAACAGCCAACAAGATGCCCAAAGCATGGAAGGCACCGGATAGCAAAACCCAAAGTCATCTCAATTGTAGTGGCTCCCAGGCTGATCCTCATTAACTGAGCTCAGAGAGAACTGAGCTTAATTAAACATACGGATGAGAGACTATGGAACCAGCTCCAACTGACTGACAAGCAAAGACTTGAAGGGCGAAGCCACCCAGGGCACCAGCTGCCACCCAGAACGCCGGACACATCCCGGCCTTCCCTCTCATCCCTTCCGTTACCAAGAGCACTTGGTTTTCCCCTTCAGTTTCTGAAATCTTCCCTCCTGCGTCGGCCTGTTTAAGGCTAAGGCATCATCTCACCTGGGTGCGGGCAGGAGCCTCCCCGCCTCCTCCTATTTCCACCTTTCAGGTGCCTCGAGCCTCAGCTACTAGCGATCTAAAGCCCAAATCCCGTCAACTTCAAACCCATAATGGGCTCTCCATCTGCTGCAGAGTCAATTCCAAATGTCACGGCGTGGATTCCAGGCCGTGCCTAAATACCGGCCATTCGACTTCATCTAGGCACCGGGATTCAAACCTTATCTAACCCGACTGGTCCTGCACCTTCCTCTCCCTGGAGTGTGCAGACCTAAGGCAAAAATGAGATGAGCACTTGCTGAATTTACAACAAAGCAAACACTTCTGGCATTTTAATGGCTGTCAATATTCGGTCATTAAATCTTATCTAAGTACCATCGCTGGCTTGGGAAGATTTTCCTGAAGATTTGGACCTGTGCAGGGCAGTGCTTATCTCCTGCAGAGGCAGGCACGTTCCTCTGTCTCTGAGTAGTGCTCAATACAACAGGACTTGGCACAGCCCAAGCAGGTTTGCAGAGACTTTCCAGATGGAAGACACATCAGCCAGGACTTTCTCAGACAAGAACACTTTTCTTGGAAATTCATGTGGTACTTACTGGGTCAGCTGAGCGTTTCATTTCATTCCTGATGAAAACGCTTTGTAGCAACTTGGTAAAACCATAAAACATAAGGCATATTAAGCTCTTTTTCTCGAATTCATTCATGAATTCATTCATTCATTCATTCATTCATTCATTCAAAACCTCAATAAAAGCAGACATGCTCAGCTTTCCCAAATACATATGAATTTCACATATGATTCTGCCAGGCTCAGCAAACATATTTTCATATGCTGACAGCTCTCAGAGCTAGAAAGTTCCTTGAAATGAACAAACCATGTGCCTTGGGCATAGAAGGTTAACAAAACCAGAGTGCTAAATTGTTCTCGCTACACTGGGGGTTATTTCCAGCTCTGGGCTCTTTAGCTGTGAAAACGAAAATAAATTTTAAACTATCAGAATAAGATCAATCCTTAACACCCACGATGCTGGATACCACATTGGACTTTTAAAGTATACCATCTCACTTAGTCCTCATGGCCCCATTTTAAAGATGAGGAAACTGAGGCTCAGAGAGGTCACTTACCAATGTCACCTGACTGGTGAGGGATAGAGTTGAGAACTGAACCCAGCCTGGGCCAGGGTACAGCATTCTTGCCATTGTGGAGCCTGGCTCCTTCCTCTAAGAATGATTTCAGGGAAACACCAATGCCTCCTGCCATAAAGCAAAATGCCCCTGCCAATGTTTCTATGTCCTAAAATAGGCAAGATTCAGGCCCTGATATCTCCCCTGATGGTGTTTAAATACCAGACAAGGAGACAGAAAGTGCCTGACTGTACTTCATTCAAGTGCCTGACCAACCTGCCGCAGTCCCAGCAGCAACACCACTGTGCATGGTTCTGCAAACCTGGCCAGATGCTGGCAGGACCGGGGCATCTTCACCATCAGCCGCTAGCCAATGCTGAGTAATCTTATCTAATTACACTTAACTATGTCATTACCACTCCAGCATGTGCGACGAGATGCCATGGACGTTGCCGCTGCCGCAGCCCAGCGCGTCCTCTCCTTGTTCGTGAAATAATTACGGGGCTCTCTCCTCTGCCAAATGAGGCTGTAATTAACCCTAATTGCTCAAAATGCAACTGGCTAATTCTGGGAGATTAATCAAGGGGGACTCTATTGTTAGTGAATGACTTAATATGACAAATTGCTACATTACCCGAGGAGGCCCCACTGCCCCCAGCCATCATTGAGATGTCCTGGTGGACTCTGGACCAGCAGTGTCCACAGGCTGCCCAGCTTTCTGGGATCTGCCTCCTCAAATTCCATTTAGGAAATGGGCCCCTGCATCTCAGCCAGTAACAGAAATGGGGAGTATAAATAGCATAGATGCCTTCGGACCCTCGTGCGCTTGTGTGCATGTGTGCACCCATGTGCATGCGTCCACATACACTCACACGTGGTTTCTCCTAGTTCATATGTCGCTTCTGTGTGAATCTATTATAGAGGCGCCTTCTCTGGGGCTGATGCAGCCCACGCCAGGGAGCATGGCTTGAGGAGAGCTCAGGGCAGGAGGATTTCAGAGTCACCTGCCTTGCTGGCCAGGCACCTTTGTGCAGTGTCCAACCTGTACAACTGTACATGGCAACCCTGCCCAACAGGCCAAACCCCAGTGCACCCGAAGTCCTCCAACAGGAACTAGGTGGTTAGAAGCTGTGACAATCCTTTCATGGATCAGAAAGGTAGCTGCCTCTGAGTCTCCCCTAATTTAGGTCTCACAGTCCTGGGACAAAAGTCAACCCTAAACAATTACTTTTCACCATTCCAGGCTGCCCACAGGACACCACAGCATCTGGCCCCAGCTGCGCTGCCCAAGCCCTCGGTCCCCTCCAGGCCTGTGCACACCACTTCCTCCAGAAAGCCTCTCTGGCTTTGGGTCAGATGCCTTGTTGGAGCCTCACTGGCTCCCGAGTTTTTTCTGCATTCTTTCCTGTCTGTCCCTCCCATGAGACTGTGTGCTCGCTCAAAGCAGATGTGGGTCTGTGCCACACACGGTCATGCCCTGGGTGTGTGCACAACACGTATCTGCAGTGCGTTAATTCAGCAGGCGCCTGGCCTGGGATGGTGTGACTGGCAAAGCCCCACTCCAGAGGGTTCTTTATCCAGGAAGGGAAGGCAACCCAGAAGCCAGCCCCCCCGTGGAATGTGATCATGGATGTGACCCGGTGCCTGTGCACAGGTGTGGAGGCAGCACACAGGAGGAGCTGGGTGGAGCAGGAAAACTCCCCAGAAGCAGCGGCGTTTGGACTGAGGCTTGGAGGAGCGCACACCAGGCCCAGGGAACAGCATGGGGTGTGTGAGCAGCTCAGTACCCGCAAAGCTGCCTTCAGAAAAGCTGCAAAAGTCTGCCTGGCTCTCCGAGGTCTACAGGGAGGGTGAGGCAGGTGGAAGGAAAACTGGTGATTCGGAGCTTTGCTGGTTCTGGATAAAGAGGCTGGAGGGGGCCAGAACATAGTTCTGATCAGAAAGAAGGCTGACTTCAGCCCAGAGTAAGGAAGTTCTTTCTGACCCCAAGTTCACCCTGCCCATTCCCTTGCATCCTCCTTTCTCTTCGGGGCTTCCACAACTCTCTCTGTATCCATCCTTCTCAGCAACGCTGATCCGCAGAGGTGAGGCTGTTCCATTCATATGGAAACACCCGGGGCAGGACCAGGGCCTGGCATCCCACCCAGGGTCCAGCAGAGAGAGGCTTCTCCAGGTGTTGCTGAATGAAACGAAGGACCAACTAGGTCAGGCAGTGAGCTCTGCTCCCATCACTGGAAGAGTACAAGGAGAGGCTCTGTCTCCAGGTGCCCCTGTGGGCCAGGATGAAGCAGCCTCAGGGGTCAATGTTTCTGGGGAACTCTAAGGCCCTGCAGACAGAGGAAAAGGGCTTACCTGTGGGTCAGGAGGGTGCGCGGGCCCCGGGGTGTGGCAGAGGTTGTTCGGGCTCCCTCCGTGGGGCATGTGGCTGGGCTGTCCTGCCATCCTGCATGCCAGCCTCACAAGGGCACGGGCTGCAAAAGAAAACGAGGGCTTTCTTATATACTTGCCTGTTCATTCCCCCCTCCTGATGGCCCTTGGACAGAGGAAGTACTTTTACTGGCCCCATTTTACAGATGTGTGAGTTGAGGTGCAGAGCACTTAAGTACCTTGCCACGGTCGCTTAGCTCAGAAGTGGCAGGGCTAAGACTCGAATCCCTGCATGATACATTTTCCCTCCATGATACTGTCCTGACTAGTTTGCTAGGATTATCCCCAATGGATAGAGGGGAAACTGAGGCTCTGTGCAGGGAAAAGTCTAAAGGTGGCCCCCAGCCAGCAAGGGAAGCACCAGATTCAATCCCACTGGTGCCAGACTCCAAAGCCTTGCTCTTTTCCACATCACTGTCCTCCATGCCTCTTGGGGGACAGTTCTATACCCCTGTCTCCCAATATCGCCCCACATCAACCCAGGCTGACAGCCTGGGTGATCAGGAGAGGCAGACTTTGAGTCAGACCACAAGCAGCACTGCAGGAACGACCCCACGTCCCCATCCTTGCTGGGCCCTGTGCACCAAACACTGGAAGGCCAAGGCCACAGGTCCCGCTCACAGTCCTAAACAAGCCTATGGGCACAAGGGAGCAACCCCCTCAACCTCCAGGGCTTGTCACATCAGAGGTTCCCAGAGAGTCAGGATGCTAGTCACCAGTTGTCATAGTAACTGCAGCAGCTGTCCCTGATTAAATGCCATCACGTGCCCAGGCCTGTGCTAAAGGCCGTACGAGTATCACTCCCAATGTCACTTCCACTCCCAGTGTCACAGGCAGCCTCTGCCAGCCCTGCAGCAGACAAGAACCTCTGGGGCAGGGACCAAGGCTCAGGCATGGAGAAAAAGCTGTATGGCCCCAGGAGGGCACAGCCCGGCCACATGACCCTCCTGGCTGCAAGGGAGCAGCCTGCTCCTCAGGAGGTCAGGCCGTCCTTCACCCACAAGCATTTCTGCAGCACTGCCGAGTCCAGGGCCACACTTCCTGTGTCCTAAGGCAGGCCCAGCTCTGCCCTCACACACCTTTAATCTGTGTTTTGGGGTAAAACTGCTCTCCGGTATGCAAAGGAGAGGCCACATGGAGCAGGCGGCACAGAGTGCAGGTCCACCCAACTCGGGCAGGCACGGAGCCCTGGGCGAGGAGCGTCCTGCTGAGCATGACTCCGCCCCTGCGGTCTCCTGTCTCTGAAGTTGCCCCAGTTCAACCAGTTTTCACCTCCGCACTCAGCACTTTATGTGGCTCATCCTAATGTACACAGATAAAGGTAGATCTTTTGCTGTCTCTTTTTTCTCTTATCTCAAATCAGTGTCAGGTCTAGGGCACTGTGACCGCTATGCTTGTTTTTGGAGGCCTGTCCCCCCCCACTCCTGCCACTCCCTGGTCAGCTGGGCCTCCAGTGCCTGGGCCCTCCTCCCAAAGCCCTGCTCCTCTGCATGGGCCATTGAGGCCACTTCCTGAAATGCAGATGGGACCACAGTCCCCTTAGCATCTGCCCACCATCTGTGCCTGAGCTTCCGCACTGGAGCACCACCCCTAGGTGACACGTGAGAACCTGGGTACAAAAAGCCCCAGGATAAACAGATAAACGCGAGCAGCTTCCCGAGGCAGCACTGTTACTCAGGGGGGAAATGTGTGCAACAATAAACTGGATACAGAGGGAACAGAATGTAAAATGCGCATGAATTTTAAGATAAAACCCAAGACTCCTGCAGGCTCTGCAGCTGCTTCGGGCTGCACCCCTAGACCCCTCGGGGTGACATGTTCACCGTCCTCTGCCCTTAGGGGGACCTCTGGGAAAGGCGGGGGAACTGTCTTCAGCAGGAAGGTTCTGTCTTTATTGCAGAGGCACTGGCATGGCCCACGGCGCATCGCTCACCTGCCCACCTGCTCACGGGCTTCACGTGCACCAGGCACTAAGGGGAAGTCCCGGCTTCCCCTTCCCTTGTCATCCCACCTCACACAGCCTCTTGTGGCCAGCCAGCCTGGGTTTGTATGGTGACCCTGTCACTCCCAGCTGGGACCCTGGGCAAGTCACACTGGTCAGAAATCTAGGAGGTATCTGCAAAGGCCATTCCCCATGTCCCACACGGCACTCCCACATCTGAGCTCAGGGGCACAATCTGCATGCCCTCAGGAGCTTCTCAGGGCTGCCCTGCTCCTCACACAGGAGCATCGTGAGGGCCCCCACCCAGGCCTCATAAGAAATAATAGTAACGATAAACCAACAATCATATGCACTCACTATGCTGGGCCCTGCTCCCTACACTTCAGCTCTATTAGCCCATCTCATTTTAACTATTCCATGAAACAGCGTCTTTTACTGTTCCATTTTACAGATGAGAAAACTGAAGCACAGGGAAGCTAAGAGATTTGCCCAGATCACACAGATCACAGGTAAAGGAGCCAGGATTTGAACCCACAAAGGCATCTCTGCCCAAAACCTCCATGGTGCACTCCTCACAGCTCTTCCCAACATCATCTTCCCTCCTAGAGGCTCCCCAGTGAACAAGGATGGGGCCTGTGCTGCATGGGCCACAAGGAGCCACTTTCCCCCACTAGGGCCCCATGGTCCTTGTCCTCTGGGATGGCACCAAGCTGATGCAGCACAGCCGTCCACACACCCTGTCTGCCAAACCCCTGGGGCTTTGATAAATTACTGTTCCTAAGAGCTAACGGAAGGTACTGCTCCAGGCTCCCCAGAAAAGCAGCAGCCAAGGAGGACCCTGCAAGTCACAGCTCCCCAAGTGCAAGGGAAGGCCACCACAAAGGGGCAGGGGGCAAGGAGTGAAGGGGGAGGAGGGGGAAGGCAATGAAGGCTCTCTGAGCTTCCAGTGGGCCAGGTCTTTCCCATTCCTCCTGGGGCTGCTGGTAGACCCATCTTACAGATGAGGAATCAGGTTCAGAGGGCAAGCTCAAGGTCATGTCTCAGAGAGCTAAAAAGGGGAGATTTGAACCCAACTCTCACTGAGTCCCAAGCCCCTCCTAGGGCCCAGTGTCTCCAGGGGGGTTGTATTTCAGAGAATTTTTCATTCGTTTTGTCTATACTTCAACAGAAACCCGACCCTTTTATCCGAGAAATTTCCTGCTAGAAACTGCTTCTTAGGGAGCTCAGACACAGAAAGATCAAGACAAAGGGGCTTGGAGGAAGGACATGGAGAGCAGGGCAAAGCCCTGCAGTGCATGCCGCGCCGGGTAACACAGGGAGCTGCCTCTCCCCGGGGCTCCTGCCAGCCGCCGAACAATGAGGAAGAGGCTGCCAGGCCCAAGTCAGGGGCCAAAAATCCGTGGAATGTGAGACCCAGAGCCGCAGGCCACACTGAGTGCCACCTCAAAGAGGGCTTTTCTTTGCATTTCCAAGGCGCTGTGGACACAGTGTGGCTTCCCAGCCTAGACTCCTGACCTGTGCGTGTCTACCAGGCTCCCAGGGACCGGATCAGGATGAGCCCAGGGGGTAAGGCGCAGGGCTTATTTGGGACAGACACCTTTAATTACACAGTGTCTCAGTTTCCTCATCTGGAAAATGGGGCTAACAGTAAGATATATCTCTGAGGGTGATTGAGAGGATTAAACATGTTAACAGATGTAAACTCCTTAGAACAGAGCCTGGCACATGCATGGGCCTTGGGAGGCTTTAGCTGCTCCCATTGTCATTAGTACCAACCATCACTGGGCAATGGAGAGTGACAGCCTCCATGTGCCAGGTGTGAGAACTGGGGCTCAGAGAGGGACAGCGGCTTGCCCAGGGTCACACAGCTGGTAGAGATAGAGCCGGGGCTGTTGGACCCCAGGTCATGCTCTTTCCACTGCACTGTGTGGCTTCTTTGGGATGACGCTGGAGCAAACACCTTCTTCATCACTTAAGGGAACTGTGGGTACCTTTGCAAAGCCCACTGATATGCCCCTCCCACCTTGGGCTTTGACAAGGCTCTTACTACTGTAGGGTGTGACCTCAGGGGGACGTGGGGACTTGGGTTTAATCTGGCACTCCTTAGAAGGGATCAGCTCCCACTGGGCAGGGCTCTGAGGTTTCCCAAGTGGCCTTTCTGATTAAGACTTGTCTGACCCTTGCCTTCCAATTTCTGGAAACTTCAGTTAGGGAAAAGCCATGTCCTTCCTTTGTGCCCTGCCAAATGTCACACCTCATGGAGGCTGGTGGCTCCTGGGGGCCCTTACCCTCCTAGTGCCAATGATCCAAGATACCAGGAAGGCCCAGGCCAAGGACCTGGCTTGGGGCAGGTCGGGGCACACATGCTTGAGGGTCTGTGTGTGGGGGTCTTCTGGTAGTGCATTATTACACTGTGTGGACGCAAATATTTGTCACTTTGCTCGCAAACCCTGAGTGGAAACAGCATGTCCCTGCCCTTCTCTGCATGTGTGCGCACATGAGTGAATGTGGTCAGGGTTCGTCTGCCCAGGCCGTGAGCCCAGCAGTTCTCAATCTATCCACTGAGGCAGGGGCATCACTGTCCCTTGTTTGGGGGTGAAGGTGGCGATGGCTGATGTGGCTTCCAGGCTGACTGGTTCTGCCAAGCCCTCCGGAGAACCTCACAGGTTTCCTTGGAGGCTCAGCCTCAGCTGACCACCAGACCCGTACTGGTTTCTCAGAGGAAGGCCCCTTCTCAGTCCTCTCGGCTCAGTGAACAGCTTCACGGGCTGTTTTCCTGAAGCAGAAAACCATCCTCCGACTTCACACTCTCCTATACACACACATGGTTTTCTTTTCTCCCAAATGAGTGACCCAACTCCAGTGCAGGAACCAGGGACTGTTTCCACTTGACCGGCAGGCTCCCGACGACAATGCATAGCTTGGATGTCCGCTGCCTGGGGCCTTTGGCCAGCTGGGAGAGGTGCGATGCCACAGGCCGGCACTGCCCAGCACGCCCCTCCACAGTGATCGAAGGCCCAGCAAGGAGACAAGGCAGCTCACAGCCTGGCCACTGGTGGCGTCAAACCCGACCAGCGTCAGCATCCATCAAGAGCCATATC